CCCCCTGAAGAACAGATGGATCTTCTCACCCTCGCTCATGCGTTCTGCCGGTTTCTGCAGCACCCAGATCTCCTCGAACTCCACGGCGTACTGCTGCACTGTGCGGTTCCCGCACTGCAGCTTCTCAAGGCGGCTGCGCACCTCCAGCTGGGTCGGCTGGACCTGGAAGGCTTGCTTGAGTGCAGATGCGAATTCCTCCCATCCAAACGGCTTCCTATCCGCCTCAGCCTGGATCTTGCTGCCATACACCACTCGCTGTGCATTCTGGTCCAGCACGGTGGTGGCAGCGACGACGCGAGCGTCGTCTTGGACCTTGTGCGCCTTGAACAGGTCGGTCATCATCGACAACCACGCAGCCACGTCCGTCTTGCCATGGATGAATGGCGGCAGGGTGATTGGCAGAGAGCCAAAAGCCTGCGTGCTCGGCTCAGCAGCGCGCTGCGTAGAAGGACCAGGGTCACCCACTGCACCACCAGAGCGAGAAGGGTTGGTGCGACCGCTAGCAGAGTTGGCAGGCGGTTCCGCTCGTGGTGCAGGGCGATACATGGTCTCCCTTCGGAGGGCACTGAACGCCTCGCGCAGCTCGTTGATCTTTGAGGTCTGCCTCGCCAGCTGATGAACGTGCTCCCGGGCGTCGTGCTTCATGTTCTTGAGCTCAACTTCCAGGTACTTGATTTTGTTGTCCTGGTCAGAGAGATCCCTCTTGAGGTTGGTGATGAGTGACTGCTGCTGCTGGATGCGCGTATCCTGCTCAGCAGCATGGTCCTGCAGCTTAGCAATTTCAGCATGCAAAATGTCCTCTTCCCCTTCCAACTCAATGTCATCCTCCTGAGACTCCCCTTCCTGCTCCTTGGAATTTTCAGCAGCTGAAGGGTCCTTAGCAGGGGAGTTTTCAGCAGGTTCCTTTTCAGCCATTTCCTCATCCAAGTTGTTCAGGTCAATCTTCTGCACACAAGCTTCCAAATCAGCATGGGAGTTGTTGCCTTCAACACCACCAGCATTGGAGTTGGTAGAAGCCATTTAGAGCAAAGTCACTGTATTATAAAAATGAGTTACAGATCTACTGCAAATTGTTACCACCGCAGTGAATAACCAAGATTTTCTCCAGAGGAGAAATGTCTTCAATAGATCTTACAACCACAACAATGTGAAAAACACCTCTGTTGCAAAATATCCTTACCACCGCAGTGGATAAGGCAAGAACAATCACAAAGTGATTGTCTTCAACAGAGAATGTTAATACACACAGGTTGCAACTTCTTCACAGTAGCTCCAATGGTTCCACCAGCAGGGAGGGAGGGAGGGCTTAGAACTCTTGGAGAAGCTTGTAGATCTTGAAAACTGCTTGAGTAGCTTGTAGTCTTCACAAGTTTATAATATGGTGATTACAATGAAAATCACATCTCCTCCAAGAAAAGAAAAATGAAAAATCCTCTTAGATGCCCACAAGGCGAGGATCTACTAATAGCTCTGATTACCAATGTAACGGATCCACTAGTTAAAAGGGCATTTACCCATATAAAGATAAGTTCTAACACAAACAGAGAGTAGCAGCTCCTGGAAATCACTAAGTCTGGAGAGTGCTAGGAGATGCAGTAACAAACTGTGGAAGGTGAGTTGAGGAGAAAAGCAATCCTATTTCCCAATTGATTTGTTGGGAGTAGGAAATGAGGAATGAGCCAAGAGGCTTCAGACCCCTTCCCTAGACCCCCTTGGGGTGCAGCCACCTTCCCCATGGCAAGGAAGGGTGCACCACCATGGGCCTTGCCCATGTGGCAAAGGTTGATCCTTTTTACCCAATGACATGGCACAAACAAAGGAATAAAATGTTGTGTATGCAATATGTTATCCATACCTGTCATGTTTTGACTGGTTGCAATTCCAACGCAAGAGTTGAGTTGGACTTCGAATGTTTGTGATTGGTTGTAACTCCAACCAGCGGCGGGAAACTTCTCGACTCACTTTGTATAAAAGTGTTCTGATTGGTTGGCTTGCCAACCAGTTCGTTTCCCCGCTTTCCAACCAGTTCATTTCCGTTTTCTCTTCCCAACCCAGGTTCAATGTATCGAGACCTTGGGTTGGTGGGATTGGATATGTTACACGCAGCGTGTGGTTCGCGCCGTCGGGAGTGATCCACATGACGCCGAGCTCCTTAATCCATGTGTGCAACTCCGTGCTCGACTCGCTCGACTTGGCCGACGCGGGAAGCGCAGGAGGAGAGCCTTGGTACCCGTTAAGATGCATGTTGACGTGGAATCGACGGTCGGAGAAGAGGCAGAACGATTTGTCGAGCCGCCCGGTGAAATCGAAGTGCGTGCCGTGCGCTCCCGTGAGATGCGGGTCGTTTTCGACGAGCGCCGTGCCGTTGCAGAGCCCGCCGACGAAGCTCAGCGGGTAAGAAGCGGAGTTCGCAACCTGTGTGGCCGTGTCGCCCGCGTACGGCGTCTTAAACGTGCCCGACGTGCCCGAGCCGCCGTTCTTCTCTAGCAGGTAGCACTGCACGCGGTCGATAAATCCCGCCACATTCGCGTTTTTGCCGGCGAGACGCGGGCTGGAAGAGGAGGGGAGAGAGGATCGAAAGAGAGGCAGGGAAGCATAGCAGAAGGGAATCAGTCATTCAGCGCGCAAAGAGCTGCGTTCTCTGAGAACTCAACCCGCACTCAGCCGCAATCCAGAACCGTTTTGGCGTGAACTCTTGGAAAACACTCAGAACGCACTTCTTAAACCAATGCCACTCGTAGCAGTAGGTGGAGCGCGCACACGCACGGCAGCACTCCTGCAGCGTGTCGCCGTACACGCCCTTCACCACGTCGAAGATGGTCCCCACCTCCGTGTAACGCTCGTAATTTACGGGACCCGAACCTCGCTGGTGAGGCTCGTACAGCCCGCCCTGGTCGTTGAACTGCCCCTGGAAATCGCCGATGAAATTGTAGTCGGTGTAAGTCGAGTCCGTGATTGTTGCGGTAGCGAGGTCGTCTATGTAAGGGCAGACGTAGCGAGTGTGGCATCCGCCAGCAGGCATGTTAGTTGCATTTGCCGCATGCAGCATCAGACCAATGAGGGCGAGGATCAAGGAGAAGTTGAAAGCCATATTTGCGCTTGAGCTCTGCTGATGGAATGTTCAGAACGATGTTTGGAGAAGCTGCTGATTTTAGTTCCACTCTTCTGGTCTGATAAATATTTGGCCTTAGGAGGTGCTGGGACCTCCAGAAACAACTCGGTTTTCCCAATTGCGGGTTTTCTGGCGCAATGAGGGCAACAGCGGGTCGCACCCACATTCTTCAGCGAAATCTAACTAGTGCCGTACTGTAACGTAGCTTATCGCGTTGAATGTCGCGACAAGGCAGCAGCCCACCATTCACAATGAATGTATTGCATCCAGTGGCGTTGGGAAGATGAGGGGTGAGCAGTTGCCGTACGAAAGCGCAACATACCGATTCGAGATTTGCGGATAGAGCACGCCTCCGTATGAAAACCTCCAGAGTCAAAGCACATTGCAGCGAGTCGCGCATTGGGGGAGGCCGGGGTTATGCGATGTGGCCCACTGCCCATCTTGGACTGATGCGAACAAAGTTCCCTCATGCGAACATGTTTCCTCATGTAACCCCATCGGTGCCAGGAGTTTTTTTGTTGCCACTGGTTTGGGAGGCAACCTGTTTGTGAGTTGCTCGTTTTAGATTCGAGTATGAATCCTGTTTAGTTTCAGACCTAATTCATTCATATATTACTGTAGGATAATGGCTGCGTTCGGTAGGCATTTCCCTTGGGAGGGAGGTGGGGGAGCAAAGGGAAATGACGAGGGTTCCGAAGCAGTTTCCCCTTCGAATCTCCCCTTCCCGCTACAACCGAAAAGGGGAAATTTCGGTTGTTGGGTGCGAAGCTGTTGAAGGTAAATGACGAAAAAACAACCACAATTTCCACTGCATCGAAGTTGGGTAGATAGAGCTGCGCGGCATCAGAAAAAGGGTTGAAGTTTGGAGAGGGGTAACCACGGGGGAGTTGTGTTGTGAGCTCGTTAGGGTTTTCAATGCAGTTCGAGGAGGTTGGTGACTTGTGTTTTTTTTACCTGTTAGTTTGACGCGTCCCTGTTTGGGCTACTCAAGGGAGGGGTTGTTTGCTTGGAAGGGTTCAGGTGTGGTGTTCCCTAACCCAGCGCCTCCCTCTCCCCTCCGTCTCACATCCTGGGCAAGAGCAGTTTTCGAAAGGGGGGGCGAAGGAGGGAAATTTTGCCAGAGAAGGAAGGTGGGGAGGGGAAATAGGCAGCTTCCTACGACCTCATATCCACGAGGGTGAATGGCTGTTCTGTTGCCATTTACCTTCGTTTACGTTCGGAGGGTAAATGAGAGGCTCGGATCCATTTTCCAGGCTGGCCGTTCGTTTGAACCAAAAAACGCAGTTGAGGGAAGGTTCCTATTTACCTCCTCCCCCCCTCTGTCGTGCCTGCAGAACGCAGCCAATACTTTCCCTTAAAACTAAGGCCTATTTTCCCAGACCAAAATGGAATGACTTTCTGATATAAAGATTTGAAATTTCATACTTTACAGTTTTCTGTCTAAATTTCAGATTAAGTCATATGAGCGGCAATGATTTTCAGACAAGTTACATAACTCTTATACGAACTGCCAGACCACAATCGCGTGCTCGTCTGAAGTCGAATCTGAGCTGCCGGTAGTTTTGTCAACACTGGCACGCTCAGTCCTAACGTGAATCCACCTTGATTATGTCCAAACTTCTTGATGCGACATTCATTGTTGGAAGTGAATTTGCGGACGCTTAGTTAAATTTACACACATTGCCTATTATGCAGCTTAAAACCGAAATATAAAATAGTGAAGGTCATTCCAGCTTGAAATCGCTGTGATGAGTTCGGCTGAAACAACACTGTTCCAAACAAAATGGTTAGGCAGACTAAACTAATCTGATTGGTTCAAAACAATTTTCGAGGTTCATATCAACCGTCGCATACGTGCGTGCTGCATCCGCACGACCGTTCCCTGGCGATGCTTTTCCGTCGCCAGGCCCAACTCCAATTTCAAGCTGGTCCTGGGTTCATTACCAGACGATTCCCACTTCTTCTAAGTCACTAGTTTATTCACATAGGAGAGTGAGAACTCCTAATCATTCCAGTTTTCTGCCTAACTTTGAGTAGCTTAGGACCTCGACAATTTCCGACTAGGCGTGTAGTTATAAATTTCGCGCTTCTGCGTAATACACTCTTGTATTAGCGCATTGTGTTTCCAAGTCTCGCGCAATCATCGCGTTTCCCGGTCGCCTTCCTCTCTCGCGCATCGCCTATCCCTCTCCCATTGCCCTCCTCTCTCCCGTCGCCCTCCTCTCTCCTCCTCTCTCCCGTCGCCCTCCTCTCTCCCGTCGCTTATCCTCTCTCCCGCCGCGCTCTCCCTCCCGTCGCCTCCGCGCTCTCCCCTCCCGTCGCCTTTGCGCTCTCTCTCTCGTCGCCTCCGCGCTCTCCCTCCCGTCGCCTTCGCGCTCTCTCTCCCGTCGCCTCCGCGCTCTCCCCTCACGTCGCCTCCGCGCTCTCCCCTCCCGTCGCCTTCGCGCTCTCTCTCCCGTCGCCTTCACGCTCTCTCTCCCGCCGCCTCCGCGCTCTCTCTCCCGTCGCCTCCGCGCTCTCCCCTCCCGTCGCCTTCGCGCTCTCTCTTCTGTCGCCTTCGCGCTCTCCCTCCCGTCGCCTTCGCGCTCTCCATCCCTTCGCCCTTGCAATCTCCCCTCCCATCCCGTCCACCTTCGTCTCCTATCGCTCACGTCCTCCCCTCCCATCGGCATCGCGCTCACGTTCCTCCCTCCCCTGGCCATCGCACTCACGTTCCCCCGTCGACTCGCTATCTTTCCGTGCTGCCCGTCGCCTCGCCATCCCGTCGTTCGCCTCCTCTCCCCTCCCATCCGTGGTTCGCCTCCTCTCCCCTCCCATCCTGTCGTTCGCCTCCCCTTCCCTCCCTTACATACGTTCGCCTCCTCTCCCCTCCCTTATGTCGGTCTTCACGGTCTCCCCTCCCATCCCGTTGTTCCTCTCTCTCTCTCCCTAATTTTTTACCTCTCTCAACCTCAAGTCCAAGCAGACCTTTTTCTCGCAGCTCTTCCATTCGTCGGCCAACATTCACTCCCAGATCGTGCATATGTGTGTGCGCTGCCTCTCTCCCGTCGCCCTTCTCTCTCCTATCGCCCTTCCTCTCTCCCGTCGCGCTTCCATTCTACCGTCGCCCTTTCTCTCTCCCGTCCCTCTTCCTCTCTCCCGTCGCCCTTCCTCTCCAATCGCCCCTGCGCCCTCGGTGTCTCCGCTCGAAGAACTATATGATGGATTTGGTCACCCCAGCCCCCTCTAAAGGGGCGAGTCAGACCGGCCCACGTTGACCCGACTGTGTAGGCCCGGGTCGGGCCAGAACCTTCAAGAGTCTGGTCCGAACCTGGCCCGACCCGACCCGACCCGACCCGGGAGCCCATAAGGCCCGGCCAGTTCAGGTCGGGTTGGGCCGGGCAGGGCCGATTGCTCAACTCTAACCCAACTCATTTTAACTGGGCCAGGTGGGTTTCCGATTCGAGTCGGGTCGGGTCAGGCCGGGGCAGGGTTTTGAAATCTCCCTAACCTGACCCGGGGATACAAGGCCGGGTTTTACTTGACCTGACCTCAAGCCGGCCCGACCCGACAAAAGGTCGGGTACAAGAAACCCGCTTTCGCCCGCTCTGTGCACATCAATAGGCACTTTCGTTCGCCGATCTGTACAGATGGCCGATTTCGCCCGCTGATAAGAGCAAATCAACAATTTTGTTGGCATAACTGTGCAAATCAACAATTTCGTTGGCTGTGCAAACTGCGGACTGATTGGTGCTCGAGAGGAACGAGGTACGAGGGAGGAAGAGAAGCGGCGCTGGTCGCTATGAGCATATTGTGCGAGGAGAGAGGCACCTTGAGTAGCGTTGATCGGCTGCGCATGACATGGAGTTACGAAGGTAGCAAGCAAAAGCGCAGCGGAGAGTGCAAGCCATGCTCGCAGCTGCGTTGTCGCAGTTGGTTTCGTCGGCGGCATTTTGCAGCGTCTGCACGATCTGGATCGTTCTGCTTTACCCTCTAATAGCAGTGGTAGCGTGACAGGTTCCTAGCACAGGAGACTGAACTTGTATGCCACTGCGAGATACTTGCCCACGCAGTGCTTGCACGAGGGCCCACGGAAGCAGGTCTGGCATGTGCTTGTGCCTCAGGGAATTCTCATTGGACGAGCTCAGGTTGGGAGCAGCAGTGTCCAGACGGACGGGCTCCCCCAGGAGGGCGGTGCACGCACAGCTCCTCACACGAGTTTGCGTCGATCACCCACCTGAACCGAACCTCAAACTCCAGACCTAGCGTGCTTTGTAACTTCTCTGAACGACGGGCGAACCCATCTGTGCTCCCGCGTGCGAATTCTAGTAACGAGACCAAAGCTGCAGACTCCGAAGCAGATTGCGTTGGATCCGTCGCCCAGCAAGGTTCTAGCTGTCCCAAATGAGAAATAGGTTTAGGGTGGTGTGAGTACACCTAGCCCTCGCCAATTTCACGCCCTGCAACTTGTTTCGGAAAGCACCCTGAACCCGATGTTGGCTTGACCGATGAACTCCCCGAATTTGAAGGCTATCAACAACCTAGACAAGTGTCGAGGTATTAGTAAAACTCCCGCGCTTATGCCGGAGCGACTCGACCATAGTTTTATTGCGACCCATTTTTCGTCCCCTCTAACTCTTCTGAGACGTCTTAAACGTACCCTCTTTAAAACGAAAGCATTCGGAACAACCCTTCAATATCGGGTAATTCAAAAATGATTACACTGGGGGTGATATTGGCCATAGTGAAGTTGGCGCGGGCTAGGTGTAGCACATCACGTGTAGCTTTTTCTTGGCAAAAATTTTCGGACTTCCGTATTTCAGAGGGTATCGTAGTAATGCCTTGATGCCGTACCTTGCTTTCCACCGCAGCTAAAGTTTCCACCGCTAGAAAAACCTATCGAATCCTCTCCATCCCAGAAAAGTTTGGGCCAAACCCCCGCCCCCCCCCCCCCCCCCAGGTTACCCACAGCTTACCCCGTGGCGGGATACCCCGGGGTCCTTGTCTAGGTGACCTGCGGGTAACCTCGGCGACAATCATTTCGCGTGGTGACCCTGAGGTTACCCACAAGTGGTGACCCACGGGGAACCACTCCCATCATGCGGGAGCGAATCAGACGTCGCCCCGCTACCCGCTGTAAACGATTTGAGAAGCTTTTCGGCGCATGGAACGCTACACTCTGCGCACTTGCTGTTTCATTTCGATATAACTCTGCAACCTAAATCATAGTAACTGCACACTCACAAGCCGCCTCGGTAATAGGTATAGTGTCGAAATAAGTGTAGGGTTTCTATACTGGGTGAAGTTATGCTTATGTGACACAAAACCAGACATCGATAAAAGCACACGAGTGAAATATTCGTAATAATCTAACTCGATACTCCGATAAGTATTATTGTTCCCCGGTTTAATTTAGATAGGGTATCATTTCTTAAACTCTCAAACGATTTTCGTTATTGTAACATTTCTTGTAACGAGCTTATGACATTATTATACGCCTCGCGCGTATAAAACGCACACATACACTCATTCTTTGAGTGTCTTATAACGCAACGAGAGATGTGGCGACCTGACACACAAGCGTACTGGTTTCATGTTTCGTCCTACCGCTCGACACGCATCGCCGTGAATATACTTCTAGTTCCCGTAGACACGTAGGCTTTTGTCTCTGTCGCTATTGTCTGGTTTATTAACTACGTCACTGACGAAGCACAACAGCCCGCTGTCTGGCTTCGAGGAGGGCAGCATGAGGCTACTTAGACCTGTTACAGTATTACAGCAAGCAGCGACTACAACAACAAGGCGAATACGTGCGCAAAAGGTCTGTGTTACATGCAGCCACGATTAGACGCTGTAACCAAGCGCCTACAACACCGTCGCAGCTTCAAACCCTGACAACATGAGGCACACTGAACGCAAAAATTAATCGTGGCGTAAGTGTGCTGATTAACAAGCCCGGCGAAACACAACAGATACTCAAGAATCGACTGCTCGACATTACATTAGCACATCGTGATACGTCCAGCAAGAGCGTGATGAGACACCATGAGACACGGTACAGCCATACAACACACCTGCAAGCTCGCAGTCAAATTGGATGTTGCGTTACAGCAGCATACGCACCGTCGAAAGCACCTGTCAAAAAGGGTTAGCTGATAGTTAGCATCAACGTTGCCAAAAAACGAAGAGCACGCGTCGATAATATGTCGCAACCCTCTGCCAATATGTGGCAATCATTTAACACCAGCTATGAAAGCGGCGACTGTTGACAATAGCTTTGCGCCAGGGTTACCAGATGCCTGAAACAAATCAAGCGGCATGCGACACCGTTAGCATTGAACCAGGGATACAGCCCAGCCTTGATCGAAATAGAGCGTACGCGATACGCACCCGCAGCAAAATCACGAGAGGGACAGGGAGATGCGCCCGATGCTGGCATCACGCATGTGCAACCACTCAGTCGCGGGGAGACGCACGATGCCCATGTAGCGCCATCGTCTGCACACGTCTCAATAGAATCAACAGGGCACGACGGAGTGCGTTGATGAGGGGGAATTCTAGTAAAAGAGACAGACACTAACTGTTATCACTAACCGAATGCGTGGGGCACGGAAGCACACTTGCGACGCCATAACACCCACCTTCTAGCTATCGCTAAGCTGTGCCACCCACAGAGAAGCACCAATCTTTGCCTTAGGGGAGTGGGGTCGATAACATTGCATTGATTACAGCTGCTGTGATACGGAGAAATGACTCCTCAGCTCTCGAAACTGGGTTGAAATACACCTGTTTCGTGCTGAGAGCCAGCTTCACAGCGAAAGGTTTTGCACGAGACTGTTGATTGGCCGCCGAGATCACGCAATGACCCATCAAGGTTTGTTCGCAACATTGTGTGTTGCGACAACTATA